GATGGGCCAGGTTTCGCAGCCGTATAGGAGAGTTGAACTGACGGCTGCGTTATAAACTCTGCCCTTCAGGGCGAGAGTAATGTCGCGTCTGCGTCACAGATGGCGGAGATTGGCAAAAGCACCTCGACCTTTTGCTATACGGTTCGTAACCTCATCTTCAATCCCACGGGTGCTAATATAGCTGCCCAGGTACTTGAATTCCTGAACGACTTCTAGCAGATCACCACCAAGCGTTAGCGCACGGTTGGGTCCCTGCCAATCTTGGAGAAGTACTTTGCATTTCGATGGAGCAAAGCATAGCCCAAAACGATTGACAGCCAGTGCTAATCGGTCCAGTGCTGTTTGGCATGCTTGGGGGCTGTCACAGATTAGGGCAATATCGTCCGCATACTCCAAGTCAGAAAGTCGCTCACCAGGAAGGAGCTCCACACCTTCTAGGTCGTGTCTCCGCATACTCCAAATCAAGAAGTTGCGCATTAGGAGGTAGCTCCACACCTTCTAGGTCGTGTCCAGCGAACGCTGTTTCCATGACTTCATCAATAGCGAAATTAAAGAGGAAAGGTGACAGCGGGCATCCTTGTCTCACACCGCTGGTGATACTGAAGCGTGGTGACAGTGTGCCACAAACCCTCACTTTGCCTGAACTATGCGCGTACAGCGCTTTGATAATGTTTACGTATTTATCAGCAGACAATCCCAAAGGGCACATCGATCGATTGAGCCGAACGCACCATTTATCGAAATGATTTGGAATATTGGTAGCTCGGGAGTTGGCTTGATTGCGATCGTTTTGGCACCATTCGAGATGGCATCATTGTGTTATCACGAACTCAATCAACATGCATATCGACATCGATCCAATATACTAACTGCCGAGACAGAAAGAGTTCAAGAGGATTAACAACCGTTGTTCGAAATGACCTTATCCAACACCCAGATAATGACCAGAATGATCAACGTGAGCCCAGACTGTTCACTCACACCCGTTGCACCAATCCGAGTGCGATATTCCCAACCACGTCGCAACATTTGCGCAGTCTATGACAGCGACTTGAGCACTACCGCATAAGACAATGATTCACCAATCAGAACGAGGCAAACTTAATAGCCCCGTATGCCTATATAAGGAACGGAGTGGTTGCCGACAGTATACATTATTGGGTTTACTTTCTACCAGCTCCTGCTATCTGACTGCTCTCAATCCTGCACTGAAGATGCCTCCTCGGCTGTTGGCGAAACGTTTACAATCAAATTGTCCAGCTCGGAGAACTCCACAACAACTTGGCACCGTTTATGTCAAGAAACACGACAACGGTGGGTCGCCAATAAACATGGCGGTGTTCCAACAATTGACGCAAGGTGAAGATGTAGTCGATGCGGCTCCGACCTCGACGAAACCCGACTTTCTCTTCACGGATCTGGCTTTCGCGAGTGAAGGTCAGTCTGTGGAGAATGACAGACGCAAGCAATTTAGAGGCAATCGAAACCAGACTGATCAATCTATGACTGTCGTCTTCCGAAAGAGGGCGTCCCTTGAAAATTGGGACAATGACGGAGTGGCTCCAGTCTGTAGGGACAGTATCCTGCTCCCAATACTTCATTAGCAACTCGCGTAAAACATCTACTAGAGCAGGTCCTCTCGAATTCGAAGAGGGCTGGTGGAATTCTATCTGCTCCTGCGGCCTCATGCAATTTCAACAGCCTGATCTCACGTTCGACTTCTGCGCCTGAGGGCGGATCCAAGGAGACGGCCCAAGGATAAGAGCGCTTAATGCCCAGAAAAGAAACCGATAATTTACGTTAGTTAAACTGCCTGGCAGTGTTCGGCCCAACACTCCAAGCGTTGTGACAGGCTGCGGATCGGCTGTCGACTCACGTCGTGTATGGTCTCGCTAACACCAGGTCTCCTACTGCCTGTTTCTTGTATCAGATGGAATAACTTACGATGATTACCAACGGCAACAGCTGTTTCTATCTCGGAGGCACGATGAGACCACCATGCTCTAGGGTCTTTCTTCAGGCTAGGACGCAGTTTTGCCCTGCAATTTTTACGAGTCTCATTTTATTCGCTTCCAGCCGGAATACGTCGGCGAGCATCCATAAGTTCCAGAGACTGTAGAGACCCAATGTCCAGTTTGGCAATTTGATTTGCCACATAAAGACATCCTTGCTAATAGTAACGTTTGACGAATATGCGACCAGTGATCTTCGACGGTGTTCAATGGGCGCTTACTCAGTCCGAATGTCTGCGCACTTTGATACACATTCAGAACACTTGGCCTCGCTAGCTGACTGTCAATCCTGACTGGTGTCAATCCGTTTACATCGACGTTGCGGACGTCCACCGAAACGCACTTGGAGGTCGGCGAAAACAAGTGCGTGGCCATAGTCCACGCTCGTGCTCCAAATCAAGCGACAGTCTCTGCGGCGGTAACTGATCACGATATGATCGATTTGCGTCCATGGCTGGTGTGAGGCTGTTGGGCGCCAAGTCACACTTCTGCGGGTGCTGTGTCGGAAGTTTGTGCTCGCGAGAAAGAGACCAGGATCTTCACACAGCTGTAGCGATCGCTCATCGTTATCATTACGCGAGCCTACACCATGCTAGCCGCTTAGATGAAGCTCATCAGAGGACAGTTTTCCGACTTGGGCGTTTAGATCGCCAGCCAACACCAGTATCCGTGCTTCTTCTGTAGCGAAAGGGATCGTGAAGTTGCTGATAGAAATCATATTTCGCCGAATCAATGCTACAGTTTGTAGGGGCGTAGGCCGCAATGACAAACAAGCACCGTTTTTTCCCGCGCGACTTCGTAACATGGAAGGAACCAGCTAATCTAACGGCGCACATCCGACTGTTGACAGGGATCCAATCGATCAGGGCAACTTCAGCCCGAGGACTCAAAACAATGCCGACGCCAGCCTGATCAGCATATGAAGTTGCATCATCGCCGGACAGACGCAATGAGAATGTGCCGCTAGTGTCGAAGGTAGGGAATCGCAGGGTAAGCACGGAGCTCGAATCTTGCAGACGGGTTTCTGATAAACAGCAAATATCGATCGATAGGGTCTTTAGTGTGTAGGCAAGTGCTGCCTGTTGGCCAATCTGTAGCGAAGTGCGCATGTTGAGGCATGTCAGTCTTGGCGAGACTCGAGGACTCCAAAGGGAAACGGATGGATTAACGTTGTACGCTTGGTTGAACATGGACTTGTCGACGATTGGAGCGATGTCCTGCGACTGTGTGTGAGAGTTGAAACTGGGAGACAAGCGGCTATTGAAGCATGGTAATGGAGGGCCAAGAATTGGGAGATTGAAGATAGAGGAGGATAAAAGTAAAGTTGGAGTGGAACGATAGGGATTAAAAAGCGCAAAGGGAATAAGAAGACGAGAGGGCCTGAGTAGTAGCATCCAAACCAATATTCACCCTGCTCGATGCAGCAGATAGGGCGCCGTTGATTATCCTCTGCGACGGCCAGAGCATCAAAAAATTGTTAGAGGAAAGGTTAATTGTATTGCGTAGGCAGAATACTGTCAGGTTGCTCAGGCTTAGACAGAACGATCAGGGTTCTTAACCAAAGCCTTTGATTCAAAAACCTTACCGCAAGGCAGCAATGTTTCGGAACTGGACTACAGAGAGCCCGTTTTATGTAGTAAGGAGTCATCCTCATTCCAACCCCCAACCTAGAGGATCAGGAGACTGAGTTTGTCTGGCCTCTAACCATTGACCAATCTGGTATGAGTGGCTCTGAAGGTGCGCCACCTAGCATAGCTCAATGGATCACTGAGGCACACAAACCATCGCGCCACGTTAAGGTCCAGTCTCGCCGCGATGACGTTATCCGTTGTTACTGTTAATATCGTCACAGCGATGCGAGTCTTAGCACTCGGGTACCATTTTTATACAGAGGCACCAAACATCAACGGATTATTTAGACCAAATACCTGGTGTTGCGCGTTTTAAGACGTGGGTTTTAGATAAATTAGGAGAACAGGTGGCGTGCCAACCAGTCTTCGACACATCAGGGATCTAAATTGATCGCATTAACCAGTTCAGTAGCGATGCTGCTTGTAACATATGAGAACAGCGGCTTCCATTAGTACGCCGGCACAGTGTACCGACGTTTGGTTGCCACGCGACGATCATCGGTCGCGCGTGGGCTGGGCATATCGCTAGGTCGCTCGCATCTACGCCATTTTGAACCGGTACCCTCCAGATTACAAGGTAAACGTGTAATCCAACTGGTAATTATAGCCTGTTAAGGATAAGACAGCAGAAGACTCGGTATTTCTGTGGGAATCGATGACAAAAGTGAAAAGTCCGGGTAACGAAGCCTGGAAAAATAATGAGCATCTGCGAATCAGTAACTGCATCCCGTATAGGCCATCGGAAGTAGTTGAACACTTTCGACTAATGAAACCCAAAAGTGGGTGGGGTCCGCAATCCACCGACTTTTTGTGCAGGGGCTAGCTGCCTAACAGTGAAACTGTCGATGGTGGGTCCGTGCATGGAGGACGTTTAAACAAAGCCGGGCTGAGTAAAGGTGGTTGTCTAACTCACTTGCACATCTCCAAAAGACTCGTGTAGCGTTCATCGACCTTCGGAATGGACACTGCAAACAGCGTCACAGTTATGAGGGTATTATTGGAATCCAAACCGCGTCAAAATAGTTTATAGTGGTAAATTTTCGCAAACTACGCGCTAGCTGGGAAAGCCAGATTCAACATAGAAGTTAACCAGAGACCATGTGGAACTGCGCATATCTGCGTCATTGGTGGATTGTTGAAAAACTGTCATACATTAAGTCATCAATTATGTCCTCTGACAGAAACAATGACACTAGTTCTTTAGATGGAAATTCCACCTAAGTGGATGATTAAAATAGATCTGATTGCAGCGTTTCACAGAAAGCATGATAAACCAGTGTTCGAAGTCCCCATTAGTGGTATAGGAACGGGGTGTACATCGCTGCAGTTGTCCAGGTAAGTCCAAATTGCCGAAACTGTTCCGTAGTTATCAAGCTGTATACCGTACTATTTATCTGGTCACTTGCCACTCAGAGCCAATCTGTGGAAAAGCTTGTATTACAGCAGCCGGAAATAACGGATTGGAGACAACTGAGCCTTAAACTTTCTGAATAAGTTAATCAAATTAGTGAGTGAATTCATCCGACATTAGACGCGCAAAGCCCAAAATGAGGTTCCGCCTGAGATAACAGCAATATATAAGTCGAAAAGAACAGGTACATTTTGTCGGAAGGTGCTCATAAAAAAGTTGAACGTTACCCTATTGATCAGCTGAGTAAAGAACAAAGACCAGATAACATTTCATTGGTAACGAAAAAACGAGAGTAAGTTAAAACAATGAAGTATAAAAACTATGGCGTAATGCAAGATATACAAAAAAGGAGTGAAAACAAGTAGAATAACGTGGTAATGGCATGCCGCATAAAGATCAACAATAAAACGAAAGTTACTGCATTGACAGAGATCAAGTCCACGGGACTGAGATCGAGGCGCACTTTACGCCACGGCGATTGGCTCGCAAGAATTCGACACGTCATCGATTGCTTTCGGTTTGTCCTTAGGTGTGGGATCCAAGACTTCTTCTGCATCACCGTTGACTGGTGGGCGGTTGTCCAACTTCTGGTCTGACATTCTGCTAGCCAGCTCAGTAACTATGTCACGAAAACGAGCACAATGTTGTTCCGGGATGGTAACAGAAGAGCGAACGTTCGCGCGAACTTCGGAAATGCGTAGGTAGACACCATAGCGATTTGAGCCCACGTCAAAGTAAAAGGTTTTGTTACCAACTGTCATCATTTTAGATTCCGGCAAGTCACAAAAGGTGTCTAAAATCAAGAAGGAAAACTAATATCAGCTGGTCGAATCTCGAGAATAACAGTTTAGTGCCGTAATAGCGTAGGACTAACAGTGTCCCATAGAACGGTGGCTACTAGCGCATAAAGTGAATGAAGTTTTCTCAAATCTTGTTAGCAGAAAGTGGCTAGGACAAATGCGAATGCAGTCTGCAATAATGTCATAGAATTTAAATATGCCGTGAGAGTACACTAACCGTTTTCAGCGTCGTTAGCGAATTCTTGAGTTAAATCTGCCAGAGCATTCCTGAGTTCAATCATTCCCTGTGCTGGAACAGCAATCTGATCACGCACTCCCATGGATAACATAGCAAGTCTCAGAAAGCGGCCACGTTCATTTTCCTTCAGATCCAGGTAGTATCGCCGGCTGTCGCGGACTATGGTATCTGAGGCAAGTCGGCCATCTTGAGCTAAACACTGCGGAGAGTGGGACGGTAGCTGGCTATACAAATCGCTCAATTTGTTCACTTTCTCTTGCATTTCCAAAGCCACCGCAATCGACATGAGAATGCGTGACTTTTGACCACCATTACCAGCTTCAGTGATTTTAACAAAGCGCCCACGTCTATTCTGCTTTACATCCAAGTAGAAGCGTTTGTTTTGGATGCGTAACGTTCTTGTAGCCAACTCCTGCTCAGTTTGAGCGTCTATGAACTCAAGATAGCCCGTAAATTGTCTCACCTTTCTGTGACCTCGTGGAGATGTTCTCCGGCATTTCCCAATCTTAAACTTTCTTCAGGTTACCGAGCTAGACCAACACCAAACCACCCTAAAAATAACGGATTGACGGTTAAAATTTGAGCAAAGAAAAAATGATAAAAATACATTTACAAAGTAAAACGGTCACTGTTAAACACGCTCGAAGCCCTTTAGGGTTTAAATCCAGTATAAGCAAGATAAAGCCACGACAAAGGGTAGTTGCTGCATGTCGATCGTAAAAGCAGCGTATGACGTAGAAAGTAGGCCCTCGCCGAATAAGGCAGAGAAAATAACCCAGTAAAACGATGTCGCCTCATCACGCAAATGACTTAACAATAGTCTTTAACAGATTCGTTCGCGAGTACTCCATCAGTATACACGTTAGTTAGAGGTAGAAAACACTTCAGCTATTGTGCCGCAATGCATAAGAAAAAGCTGCAACCGAGACACGCCGGCTGAGCCACCAGTAACGGATGGGCATCCTTCCGGAAAGCTACTAGCCGGCATTATATATTATATAAATTATATTACGCAAAGTTTATAATATGCTTAGAAATGAGATCGTGGTTGGAGGGAGAGGCTACGCGGAAAAGGGAAGGACAAAGAAACAACACAAACGGCACTGAGGTCGGCTCCCAGCCATATCAGCAAGTGCATCCAGCCAAACGTATTAATCTTCTTTCAGAGCCCGACTACGGAGCCGAGGCTCCAATCGAGGCCAACTTCGAACTAAAAGCCATTAGTTTGTGATGTCGACGAGGTGCGCCTGCTACTTGCGAACCTTGACGGTACCAAGCCTGCAGGGCCTGACGGGCTTCATCCGCTAATTATCAAATCACTAGCTGCCATTATCTCGCCTGTGGTTACGGATCTATTCAACAAATCATTGTCTGAGGGCTCATTGCCAAACGACTGGAAGCGCTCGGTGGTGAGGCCGATCCCGAAAGGTGGCGACCCCAGTAAGGTGGATAACTACAGGCCAACTTGTCTTACACCCGTTTTGGCCAAAGTGATCGAGAAGATAGTAAAAAAGCGTCTAATACATCTGTTGCAATCGAAAGAACTTCTGACACCGGCACAACACGGATTCAGGATGGGATATTCTTGTGTTACAAACTTACTTGTAACGAGACAGGAATGGTTGCAAGCACTGAACCGTGGAAAGTCCGTCGACGTAATCTACATCGACTTCAGCAAAGCATTCGACAAAGTCAATCATGAATTACTTCTAGACAGATTAAGGTCGTGTGGTGTCGGAGGATCGTTACATCGATGGATCCATAAATTTCTCGTTGGAAGAAAATGGAGGGTACAGGTGGACGGCCATCAAACCGATTGGTATCCCTCGACCAGTGGTGTACCTCAAGGTACGGTACTGGGACCTACTCTGTTTCTCATCCACATCAACGAGCTGCCCCAGCTTCTACGGTCGCCGTGTGCACTGTTTGCGGATGACCTCAAAATTTGGCGAGAAATTGATACTCTCGATGACTGTGACATTCTCCAACAAGACCTCGACCGCCTCGCAGTATGGTCTGCCGAAGTTCACCTACCGGTCAACCCGGCAAAGTCCCTATTCATGAATCTCGGGAAGGCTGTTCACGGACGAACGTACACCCTAGGCGGCCAACCACTGCATCCCACACCTTCCGTGAAAGACCTAGGTGTACTCTCACGCTGCGACTTGAAGTCCGTCGACAACACCAACAAACTGTATCGAAACGGGCTGCGCATGCTCTGGGCGCTGAAACGCAGCTTCTGCACTTGGTCTGAGGACGTCGCCACTCGCCTCTTCTCTTCCATCGTCAGACCAATGCTAGAGTACGGCTCGCCTGCATACTGTCCGATCACTCGCGGCGAAGCGCAAAAGATCGAACGAGTACAACACATCGCCACCAAGTTGATCCCCAGCCTGAGATGCTTATCGTATGAAAACCGGTGCATGAAACTTGGGCTCTACACCTTGTCATATCGCCGTGTTCGAGTGGATCTTATCATGACCAACCGTATTTTACATCTCGGTCATTTCCCCATGCTAAGGTCGTTACTCCACTTGCGAGTTCCATGCACCACACGTGGGCACAGATACAAACTCGTGGTACCTGTTCTGAAGAAAATCCCACACCCCCTGTGTTTCGAGCGGAGGGTTGTGCACGCCTGGAACAGTCTGCCAGAACACGTCGTCGAGGCCGAATCTGTGCAGAAATTCAAATCTTTGTTGGATTTACACTTCGCTAACATACGTTTTAGAGAACGGTTGCCACTTGACAACGATATCACCCACTTGTGACTTACTGTGTAAACAAGCATTTTGTGTGCTATAGAAGGAGTTGCTGAACCATCTCAGGATAACCACCGGACGTCTTTATTTATTTTTTTTTAACGTTTTTTGATTATCACTCGATGGAGTTGTACAGAATTATTTTCTACTTGCTCCAAAAAAAATACAGTATTCTTGACTAACTCATCGCTTGGCCACCTCTCCTCTTCTTTCATCCATACTCGGAGCGAAAATAAGGCACTTCGCGGGAGTCGGTGGGCTAGCATACGTAACACATGGCTTAGCCATCGGAGCCTGGCGCGTGAAATAACAGTGTTGAGCGGTTCGCCTCTTCTTCCTGCACCATAAACAAGGCGTCGGACACATTCATTGCTTACGTGGTGTTCCCACCAGACATGTGCTAAGCTGCGAAGGCAGAAAGGATCGAACGTAACCAGTCACTTTATGTCTGCCGATCTAATGGGCCAGTTCTCACAACTGTACAGCAGGGTCGAACGTACGGTTGCATTATACACTCTACCCTTCAGGGCAAGAGTGATGTCGCGCCGGCGGTATAGGTGACGAAGGTTAGCAAAAGCGTCTCGAGCTTTTGCTATACGGTTCGTGACCTCGCCTTCAATTCCACAGGCGTTGATACAACTGCCCAAGTAGTTGAATTTGTGTGTCGGCCGGTGGCCGAGTGGTCTGCACGTTTGCTTTGCAACCATAAGGTCACCGGTTCGAATCCGCGTAGGGGTGGGCGTCCTCGCGGTATACTCAGCCCGCGCGCGACTGGTGGTGGTCGCGCGGCAGCGGAGCGCCGTTACGGCGTGCAGCTGACACATTACTTTTATTACTAGTTGAATTTGTGTACGACTTCTAGCTGATTCCCACTAAGGGTAAGTACAGGAAGAAAGGTTTGCACTTTGAGGAAGCAAGGAGAAGCCCGAAACGTCTGACAGCAGCTCCCTCAAATTGGTGGTTGCTGTTGCTTATTGGAACATCTTTTATCTTAAGCTATCTAATGCGGACCTATAACTTTTGTTGTTTTACTTTACCAGTTTTGTTTCACTGAACTACATCCTGGTTATCAATGTTATCGTACTCTGCCGAATAATTAAAATCGTTTCGAAGTGCGGCACGTAAAAAGCCTTTTGTCGGTTACGGTCATAAAGCCAGGGACACTTTCAAACGGACTGTGATAAAACATTCTGGCAACATGGGAACACATTGCGCCAGTTGGGAAGTTGGTCTCCGACGTTGTCCTTTGCAGAAAATGCAAATGCCATTCATCCTCTCCAGCAATGTGCATTCATTGCTAGGAAAAATCACTGACCTCACAGCACTTTTACAACGAAAGGAATATATAAACACAGGTATCATTAGGTTACAAGAAAGCTGGTTGTACTCTGATTTTGAACGTGGAGTGATAGACATCAGTGGATACCGGGCAACTGGGTCCGATCGCTCAGGTAAGCCAAGGAATCATGGTGACGGCGTCACCACGTACGTTAAGCAATTCTAGTACAATTAAGTCAATCAACTATCCACTAATTTTTCAGTGACTTTCAACCCCACGTTATTGGAAACCTACATTGCCCGTGACACATCATCGTCCGTACTGAAGCTTTTAGTTGAGCAACTTTCTCTAATATTGCTGCCGAAACTAGAATGCTCTGCCTGCATTGTTGCCGGTGAGTTTAATAAAAGTGATACAACGTTCTTCAAGTCATTTGATCTGGCAAATGTAGTTTCTCGACCAAACAAGATGCATAACTTGATGTTGCTTACAGAAACAAAATTCGTGTGTTTTCCACTTAAAACCACGCACCACTAAGTGTAACTCGGACCATTGTATTCTAAAGATTTGCCCTACATGCCGCATCGACGAAACGACAATTCAGGACTATCCGATGACACAACTGCTCGGAGGAAAATATCGCACGACTTCAAACAACGCTATCTACAACCTATTTTTCAATTCTTACATATGAAGATTTGCCGTTTCAATGCGGTCATCTCACGAGTTGCGTAAACTTTTGCTTCTACCTACGCCCCATCGAGACGATCTATCTATCCACGAGCAGATAGATTTCCTTCACCCCTGCTAAAAGAACCGAAGGAAAAAAGAACGTGCTTACAAGCTCAAAATGATCACGCTCGTAAAAAGCCTGACTTTGGCAATGAAAGCTGTGATAACAAGGCTAAACAGTTTATACATTGAAATGAGACGGGAAACCGTAGCTGCTAGGATCTCTGGAAACTGTCGAAGCAAATCTGTGGTAAAAGTACCATCAGTTGTACTGGAATAGTGGATGTTGACAAAATCAATTCTGAGTTTAGTTCCTCTCCGTCGAAGGCTATTTCATTACGCTACACCACTATCTCACGCCCAGCTGCCCTATTTGATCGTGACGTCAATAGAGAATTCAAGAAGCTAGATTCAAATAAAGCTAATGGCCCTGATGGCTTATTATTTGTAGTTTTGAAGCAGTGCGCCGATTCTCTCACATTACCCCTGACTGATATTTTTAACAAGTGTCTCGCGACCGGTGTCATCCCCGATATCTGAAAGTCAGCCAGAATAACGCCAGTTCTTAAAAAAGGAATTTCAAAGCATCGGTCAATTGCTTTTAAAAGTCATCAAAAAGCGACTAGTTCCAAGGATTTGCACACAGCTGCTCGTGCTGAAGATGTCTACTAGTTTGCGTTTAGATCCCAGCGCTCTACGCTAGATGCTCTCTTGTACCGTGTGCATTCAGTAGTCACCGCGCTGGATAAAAGTGCGTGTCCGTACGGCTTCATTTTCTTG